ATACAATGGCATGGTCCACCGTCCCTGAGCAGCCGGACCATACCATGGCATGGTCCGCCGTCCCCGAGCCAATCGACCCTGCCATGGCATGGTCCAGGGTCCCGGAGCCGTTGGACCCTGTCGTGGCATGGTCCGGCGTCCCCGAGGCACTGCACCGTACCACGTCATGGCCCGTCGTCACCCTATAATTGGACCTTGCCACGTCCGAGTGCTGGGGAGCAATTGCAAGGTGGTGACCATGCGATCGTGCGGTGGGACCCGCGCTGCAGGACCCAGGCTGAAGGACCGTGTCAGCGCATGGCAATGCAAGGGATGAAGGACAATATCGTGTCGTGGTTTGGTCCGGCGTCCTCTGTGTTATGAAGGAGGGTGCGGGACAAAGGGCGCCATTGGCTTCATTGGTGCCGGGCTCCAGGACCCGGGGTGCCGGACCGTGCTGTGGGGCTATGCCATTTTGTGGTAGGACCCGGGGTGCAGGACCGCGTCAGTGCATGCCAACACTAGGGATGAAGGACCCGCGCTGCAAGACCCAGCCTGAAGGGTCGTGGCATTGCATGTCAACACTAGGGATGAAGTAACATGCCATGTCATGGTGTGGTCCGACGTCCTCTGTGTTACGGAGGAGGATGTGGGACCGAGGCAGTGCATGGCAAAGTGCGGGGCAAAGGAGGCCATTGCATGGTAGAACCCCCGCTCTAGGACCCGGGGTGCCGGACAGTGCTGCATGGCCATACCATTTCCATGATATGGTCCTGCGCCTCCGGAATGCTAAGGCGCCGGATGCGACGGCACAGTAGGACCCGCCATAAATGTCCCTATGTTGCCAGGCTCCCGCGACAGTGCTAATGATGCATGACAATGCCATTGTATAGTAGGACCCGACATGAAGGACCGTGCAAGTCTGCCGTGGGGCCCGGGACCGTGTCATTGCATGGTATATATACTAAGCGACCTAAGTTGTTGCTTAGTATATGTTTGGCCTGGTAAGATGGAAGCACTGGATGGTTACATGTTCGTATGTTGGCAGGCTGTGCTGTCCGTTAGTATGTTGGTGGGTTGGTCAGCGGTGAAGGTAGGCTAAGTTGTCGGTTGGTACGTTTGGGTGTCTTTGTGCTAGAGTGCAGCACAATCGGGGGCCTGTGTAATAACAATCCCTCCTCTATGTGTGCGTGTGTGTGTGTGTGTGTGTGTGTGTGTGTGTGTGTGTGTGTGTGTGTGTGTGTGCATGTGTGTTCGAATGTGTGTGTGTGCGTGCGTGTGTGTGTGTGTGTGT